CTGTGTGCATGTCCTCTCCATCTCACCAGCCTCATATCCAAACCAATTAGAGTGGCCAGATGGTGGGCTGGACTTGCAGTAAATGGCTGCATTGACAGAAGAAGCTTGCAACAAAAATGAACTGTGACAAGAGGCCAGAACGAAACACGGATACACCCCTGCATCAACGCACCAGGCAAATATCGAGGACGTGCTGCCAAAGTCGCCCCTAACCAACTGTCACCTTACTGGGTTGTTACCACCAGAATGTAACAGGGCATTATTCAGTGGGGAGTGTGAAATAAAAGTTAAAACCAAACGAGGGGAAGCGGCATGAATGCATGCATGCTAGCACCAGCACACAGACCTCTTTGCTACTTGCCCTGCTGTTAAAATGTTACCAAACCGGTTTAGTCAGAGTTCAAACAATGCAGCCTTTGAGAGGTGGACTTCTTTCACTGAGCTTTCAGCTCAGCCTGCACATATCAGCCCCCCCACACACACACCTGAAAACATAGACTGCCTCCCTGCAGGAAAATTACTGAAGCTCCACCTACACATTCTTCCAGTCTTTTCTCAGGGCTTAGGCTCAAGATTGGGAAATTATTATTTATTCGTGTTGAAAAGAGTAACGCGTGTTCTTTCTCACCCGGCTGGCAACATTTGCACTGATTTGGGTTTTTATAGATGATGCATTTCCTCCTTGGAAGTCACCGGGTCAAATTTTTTTTTATTTAAATTCTTGATTTCCAGGAACATAAACCTTTTCTGCAAGCTGAATTCTCATTGTATTTGACTGCCCACAGAAGAAACAACCCATCATTCAATAAAAGACACCAAATGGGTCGGCCAATCTCAATGCAGTATTATCGTTTAGGGTGGGACAAAGAAATATACATGGCAGTTCAGGAGGATGATCACATAGGTGTTGTTCTCCCAGCTTAGTCAAAATCTACAAATTTCATCAGTGAAAGAACAGTAAGAAGCACTTTGTCCATCTTCTGGTAGCAAATATGTTTGTGCCTTCTTAGTTACAGGCTGGCTAAACCTGAATAACGGAGACTATGTCTCTTTTTGTTCTATAAGCTTGGAAAGTTCAGCTGAATGTCTCTTCTTCCCTGGAACGACTGGATACAAGCAGACGGTGATTGATAATTTGTAGAATTAACCCAGTGCTACAAATCATCAGTCTGGTTTGCCATCTTAAGAAAATATAACACTAAAACAAAAATATGCTGCAAGTCCTTTGATAGTCTGATTCCATCAGAAAATTATATCATATGCATAAATTATCTGCCAGTTCTGGTTTTTAATGAACAAGCTTTAACACACATGCTACTGGTTGATATGGCCATGGACTGGGAAATAGTGGGAACTACATTTAATTCTGTATAAACAAAAAGGTTCAGCTTCTGACATGCTGATTAATTTGTTACATCTCTAATCCTGTTAGAGAAAGGCGACTTTATAAAAACTACCTCAATATCATATGAAGCATTTCATTTACGCTGCAATGGTAAGACTGAGTGATGTAATCTCTGAAATGATAGAATTCCACTTTTGGATCCTGCATTGCTCGTAAACGGATAAATTATGAACTGCAGAAAACAGTCAAAGTTAGAACATTTCAACTAATGTTGATGCAAGTAAAAGCCATTGTGAATACGCTACATTAATTCTGACTTTCTGGAGTTGCTTCAGTTTAAAGTTAGTACTCTGGAGCAGAAATGGAATAAAGTAATAGTGGCTTGAAAAAGTATCCAGGCTCCATGAACTTTTTCCCATTGTGTCACATAACATCCGTGTCTTAACACAAAAGAAGTGCACAACTGTGAAATGCAAGGAACGGGATACAGCTTTCAACTTTCTTTACAAATAAAAGTAGAAAGTGCACACCTTGTGTTCTGGCTCCTTTAGTGTGATACCCTGAAAAAAAAACTACTGGAACCCATTGTCTATAGTCATAATGTATAATTTTAATCTGAGTATTAATCCAGCTGTGCTTAAAAGGTGTATTAGAGAACATTAGGGAACTAACAGCATTACTAAGACCAAGGTAAAAAGCAGGTAGGTTTAGGGATAGGGAAGTTTAAACCCGTGTTAAAACAATATTCAATATTTTGGATATGATGTGAAGGAAGGCATCAATCAGAAAAAGCTAATACACTGCAAAAACCTAAGTTTATCTACTATTCATTTGTGTAGGTAAATTAAAGGATTTGCCAATGAAATTATTTTTTTTTCACTTTTAAAATAAGATAGTTAGACAATATGCACCTAAAATAGTGCAATTGTTTTTTCTTATTTTAATTGTAAATTGACATGTTCCATTGGCAAAGTGTCTCACTTCCCTCCCCAATTAAAAAAAAAAAAAATCACTTTTTTAAAGAAAAAATAACTTATTTAGATTTGAGTTTTTGCAGTGTAGGCCCTAATAAGCAAAACCAGAGCTGTGAGGGAATTGTTTAGATCAAAACAGTGGGCTAAAACATAATGGGTCAATCTTGAGGCCAGTGGGCCAGATTTGGTCTGCGACCATTTTTGCAGCCCTCAACATCTAAAAACAGTGCATCATGGCAAAGTAGAGGCATATTTTGGGTGGTCTAGTGGTTAGGGCATTGCACTTGGAATCCAGAGGTCCAACTTCAAACCCCACTCCCACAGACTGCCACTCTGGGACCCTGAGCAAAGACCTTTAACCCCGCACTATTCGCCAGGTGCCGCACAATGGCAGCCCACTGCTCCCCAAAGGGATCAGTTAAATGCAGAGGTAAATTTCTCCAGTATGAGAGAACTATTGTTATTATTATGGTGTACTAAGTTGCAAAAGCTGCTTAATAATAGAGCAGCGTGCTGTTGGTCAATTAAATAAAACTTCATTTATTCAGCTGCATCCTGCACTTTGGAAGATTTAATGCTGAAGTTACCTGATATAAAAGGAGTTTCTTCACCAGGTCAAAATAAACTAGACCTGATGGCTTGACCCCCAGTGGATCCTAACTTCATATTTACACAATATGAAGGTAATGTTGGGAAACTGCTTACACTTGTATAAAAATATTCTCATGAGTTACGCTTACATAAGCACCAAAAGTCTCCCTTGAAATCTAAAACTGGAGTTATACCTGATTTTATATTGTTGTATTCTTTCCTGTAAGTAATTCGTTCTAAAACCCTCGATGCTTAACAAGTGAAATCCTTATCAGCAACTAAATCCCCCGTTCAACATCATTATCTTTATCAGCAACCCTAAACAGACTGTTAAAATCCTTCAACACAGGTTTCTTGTTCTGCAAAACCGTTTCCCCGACACTTGCTCAGTTTTCTTTTTTTTCCCTACATAAGCCCGTTATCACACCTTTGTTGACATACACAGAGATTTATCGAAACTGAAACGAGACCAGCAGCCAGACCAGGAAATTGGAGTTGAAAATATAGAGGGTGGTTCTCGTCTCTGGGGACGTTGTGACAAGAGAGCGAGGGGCCACTTCATATCTAGATCAATTTATCTATAAATCTAATCAGCAGGAATCAATGAGTGCCGCTTCTTTTTAATCTGTGTCCTAACTCATCCTGCTAACCTGCGGTTTGAGGGACCCACACACTTACAAGAAAGCAACAACACAGAAACAGTTCAAAAACCAGGAAGTCTTTAATATGAACCAAATACGAAAAAGAAAAATATAGAAAGACATGACATAATAATGACAACAATCCTAATTCAGACCAAAATAAAGTCAAAAATTAAAAGATACAAAAAAGTTAAAACAACATCCACACAGAGCAGTCAATAGTAATAAAAGCACATTTTGGGTTAAGAGTGTTTTATAGCGTAGTTGTGGCGTGTGTGTGTGTGTTTATATATGTGTATACAGTTTAAATTCACCAGATTTGGCAGCAATCACAGCGCAGCAGTCAAGAATAAAGCACTCAGAAAACATAACTCATAAAGCACTGCAAAATAACAGAAGAGAGAGGAGACTGTAATAGAAGAAAAGAAATCCTTCATGCTTGCTGTCACTGAGTAATACACAAATGTGACACCATAAATTAGTAATTCTTTTTCCTCTGCTACATATTTATATATTTATACTATGTACACAGGAACGTTGTTGCTTTCTTTTCTTTTTTTTGTCGGTAAGCGAGTGAGCTGAGAGATGTTAAGGCTTTGATTTGTCATCAGATGTCTGGAGCCAAACAAACAGCGAAGGGATGTCGCTTTTTGGAGTATAGGGGGAAAATATCAGATTTTTTTGACTGCATTGCCTTGATGCTAGACCCGAGCCAGAATTGTAGGGTTCACTAAAAGCATTTTGTTTGACAAGCATTGCTGCAGTGAAGAGGTGGATGTCACTGTGTTTGCATCTTAGGGGGTGGCAGCGACACGCTGGGGTACGAGAAGTCGGGAGGGTGACTCTCTCTGGTGTCTTTTAAAAGCATTGGAAGGAGTAATTTAGGATGATCAGGAGTTGGTGGCATTTTAATGAATCTATATTCCCAACAGCAGCAAAAAAATGCTCTGAGAAAAACGCTCAGAATATTGGTGCAGCTTCTTCCTTCGAGGAGGAAATCTAGAAGTAAACATCTCGGCATCGATGCCTTTTTGTTTTATTATTGTTTGTTTTTTTCATGATTATTTTGTGTGGCTATGTGTGGGCTCATGTCAGAAGATGGCAGACTTGTCAGGTATGAGGCGTCTGCTGCACCAGTTTGGCTGTGGGAGTGAGCATAATGAGAGCGAATGTGGGGAGTTTGTGTGGGCGAATTGTTTCTCCACATCCTGCCAATGTATACGTGTACAGCAGCTGTGCATGTGTGCAAGCAAGCGCACCTTTGAAACTCACAATATCTGCAGCTTTACGCTTTTTAAACAACAGCAGAAGACGGCCACTCAGGTTACAGTTTGGGTCGGGATAGTGTCACCAGGAAAGGAAACCCAACTAACTGCTGCGCACCAACAGGAAGCTGGCTCAGATGCATGACTTGGGTGAGGAAGGAATCCCAGATAAATGTGATTTTTCTTTTTTTTCCTGTGCAAAGACGCTAGAAACGGTATGTGCTTATGTGAAAACGCAGGCTATTTGAAAAAACAAAAACACGTAGATATAAAAATCAACCTCAGGTGATGCGAGGTTGGTGAGTTCATTACGTCGTTAAATTGATCTACATTCTAAAAGCCTGCTGGGACATTTGAACTCGAGGCGAACTCTGACCTCCTTGCTGCGGGTAAAAACGGGCTCCTTCAATCCGATATTTACAGTTTCAGAAATATGTACATTTTCACGAGAAAAATAATGATTACATATATAGTACACAGATACTTCACACCTAAATGTACATAGTGTTTTGTTTCTCCTTTGTAACCTTTTTTTTTTTACCCCCCAAAGAAACAGTTTCACACTTATATTGTTCATTAAAGTAGTGACAAATACAAGTGCAAAAAAAGTAATACATTTTTTTATATATGATGTGGTTGTGACAAGTCAGCTGTGTTCAATAATGCTGTTACTCACCCATATATGCATAAACTAAGGCCATTAGATGATAATCCTATTGAACACACTGGTTTACAATCTGCCAGACGATGCTCAAATGCTTAATGCTGTCAACATTTTATTAGCCTTCTGCGTTTCCTGTTCTCTCTCTGCCAGAATACAAGTTGAGACTTTGAAAAGCTAACAAACTGGCATGGGCCAGTTACAAGTATCAGAATAAATAAATATGTCTTCCTTCATATGGTTTCTAAAGTTTCAAGTCCTTTCAATAAGAATGTTCCAGAGGGACTCTTTCTCCAGCTGCATATATATCATACAGTAATATGGCAGATCCCCTCCCCCACCTGCTGCTGCACAGCATCAGTCAGCTAGCTAAAAGAAGCCTGTAATCATAGTCGCTCGCCTACAAGTAATGAAAACTTCTTAAACATTTTATATTAACCGGAAAAAAAAGCTCCTCTCATCAAAATTCTTTAATATGATATTTTCTGAATTTGCTGAGGTCTGTGGATCAAAAAATTTTTCCCAAATACATTGAATATAATAATTAGGAAAATTATATCCTAGTTATTAATTAGTGATTAATGATTTTTAAAATTCCCTACACATTTTTTGGGATTTGCTTTTCATTTTGCCTGGGGGTTATTATTCCTAAATCCTTCACTTTAACTGAAAATTAAAAAGGTGGAGGTTTTTATAGTAGCAGCACTAGAAACAACTTCTGCGTTTCTTCTTTCATTAAACCTCCATCATGTTCGTAATCTTCATGTGCATTAATAATTCAATAGGTCCTGAGAATCCTTCCACCAGTCCATGCCTAACGTGTGCTGAAGCATTTCCCTGCATCAGTAGGTTGAGGTTAAAGAGACATGATAAGAAATGGAGGCAATCACATCCATCTACCCTTTGGTGAAAGGTCAAGCTGGTTTTGAACGGATGACACCCTCAAAAATGCCAACCCAGAGCTCACCTGGCCTTGATATCAATTTAAATTACACCAACTTGATTTTCCTCTAAGGAGGTCAAAGGGGAGTCAATAAGAAGGGTGGGAAACTCATGAGTAGAAAATCTTCTTATCACAATTACCCAGATGCATGCAAATGTACCTTGAGCCTTAAAGGCAGTACAGTAGCCATCAAATCTCATTTTTAAAAGGAAGCCCCAATGGCTCATTAAAAGGATGAAGTAACCGTGTGAAGAAAATAAGCCCTGCCCCTGCATCATAAAGGGCCATTTCCCCACACATTCCCCATCAATAGCAAACCATTTTAAGTCTTCCAATCAATTTGCCACATCTAACATCCGCTAATGGAAAGTAATATAGGATCCTTATTGAAAATCTGTCTTATCTACTGCTATGGCATTATGGAGGCTCTGTTACATCCGGCCATTTAGCAAAGTGTGAAAGGCGGGGCTGGGAAATGTGGCTACTCTAGGTGGATTACTCAGTCCTGGTGTGTCAGAATGGGCTGGAGTCAAGTAAGTGGGGAATCAGATGGATCAGGAGCGGTAAAATACTCCCCCTGATCTCGATGGCCGTGACCTCGACACCGCCCCAGATAAATCACACCTTCCAATAAACTCTGAGGAGAATGGGGAGAGAGGAGGGTGCTCCTGGTGGCAAGGGATAGAGCGGAAACGCCACATCATAAACGATAAGTGCCGCAATCTGTTGGTCCCGGCTAGGCGAGCAACTTCATGGCTCATTACCAATCAAGCTCCTCCTGTCAGGAGGTTGAAATGAGAGAAAAGAAAGGGACTAACACCATTCTACTCCTCCTGCATCCTTTCCTTCATCCTTCGACGGGTCACATCAGCTACACCTCAATCATTTATCCAGGATCTAACTTCAAGCGACAGAAAAAAAAAAAAAAACTTTCATGCAAAATTTCAATTTAAAAGTTGTTGTAAATGATAACTTCATAAACTTTTCTATTTGTGGAGGATTAAAAAAAAGGACCAAAAGCTTCTCTTCGAACCTTAAGAGACCGATGTCGGCATTGATCTACAGAGTGGAGAGTTTAAAGGCAGAGAGAGCAGAATGAACAGAAGCAAATACATCATTCACATCTTCTAATACACCTGATGGTTTCTGTCTCTTTTTTAACACACCAACACACCAGATGTTACAGCACAACACATTACCAAAACAAAAAGGCTTCCCACAGGAGGACTCAGAGTTACAGGCAACATGGAACTGCTCGACAACCACAGTATTTTTTTTAAGTGAAGTTAAGAGTGAATATGCAAGTGAAATGCCTGTATAGCCAAGCTTGTATTATGATTCAATTTCCCTCCTCCCACACTGTGTATTTTCTCTTTTAGTCTGTCAGTTGAAAGTCAAGATCCCAGCAATGGGGAGAGCATAGCTGAAGCGGTGAGAGAGATGTTGCACTTTTCCCAGTCTGATTTTCTGTTGACGCTTCTTAAAATAGATTTCCATATGCCCTCTTCCAGTCCTGCTCACTGTGGGACTTCATTCTGATTAATATTAAGATACATTTAAAATCAGCTTGCAAAAATAAAAGTGGTATTTTTTTGCTTTCTTCAATCTGACAAATATAAGAGCCCCAAAGCCTGCTTTTCTTTTCTCTCATACTCCTACTCTATATGCTCTCCTCCTCTTCCTCTATACGTAAACTGCAGTCCGAGAGATGACGGAGCCATCCCGCTGTGACTCCATGTCATCATCTATGTAATCTCCAATCATATGATCCTGTTCGGGAGGCGGGCGCAGTTGCAGGATTGGGGCTCCTCCAGAGAAGTGGTCGTAGCTCTCGTCCTCCTCCATCTCATCGAACTTCCTCCTCTCAGCTTCGTCTAATTCGTTGCTCAGCAGGATGTCCTGGGCGGTGGGTGTCCCGGCGACGACCTCGGGTCGGGCGCCCATGGTGAACGGCTGGTGGTGGTTGTTTTTCTCTCCCAGACCCTGGTTGGGCGAGCGATCAATGTAGACGGGCCCGTTGCTATTACCACCCGTGATGCCTCCGCTCCCCGTTCCTCCGCTTGTTCCGTTCTTGCTCGCCTTCTTACCACCACCGAATATGCGGGTCTTCATGTCGCTGCCGCCGTTGGCCCGGTAACCCTGCTGCTGCCTGCGGCTATGGGTGACGAGCACGGCAACGAGGGCTGCGACCAAAAGGAGGGCCAGCAGGGAGCCAATAACTGCCCCTGCAACAACGCCAGCATTGGAGTCGCTCTTTGAAGGCTCTGTGGGTGGGAGGAGAGGCAGGAAAGGAGAAAATAGAAGAAAGGGAAAAATTGTTGAGGAAGAAGAAAGACACCAGAGAGATGAAAAATAAGAGTGTAAAAAGAGCAGTGGGGAAAGAAAGGGGAAAAGTGAAGGTTGGGAGATGTCAGTGGTGTTGGTGTGAACCTCGTTTAGGCAGGTACAGTCCGTTCTACACTGTAAATTTATACACAGTGCTGTTAAAAATTATTATTTGTTTGCTTACAGATTTCAGTTTTTTCCCTTTTGAAATGTAAAAGTTGAAGCCTCACTCATTCTTATTAACTCGGATGATCAGACATATATAATCTGAGAAAATATAAAATAATGATTCAAAATGATGATTTCATTTACTGAGAAAGAAACATCAAACCAACCTAGTCCATTAGGGAAAACAAACAACCTTCATTTTTTTTTTTTTTTTATTAAAAATAGCTGATGATCATTTTTTTTCTTTAAGGTATTTTATAGAACCAATAGTGCCATCTTAATTTTTTTGTTGCAATTTTTGATAGTAGGCAGTCAGGAAAGGGGATAGGAGAGCCTCTTCAAGGACCAATGCCTCAATTCACCCTAAACCCCTGCACCAGAGCCAATGTATGATCAATTCTCTTTGGAAAGCCAAGATGAATTTTGCTAGACACATCTACGCCTGTGTACAGTCAGAAATCACTTAAGAAGAGCCTGTCTGATAACAACTGGGCTCAAAGATCTCCAAAGGGCAACAAGTGCTCTGATCTAAAGCAGTTCAAAAAGAGATAAGAAAGTCATTAAACTCTGCCATTCTGGAAAGGACTACAAGGGTGACAAAACCAGTTAATAGGTTTAGGAGCCGTTTTTTCCTCCTCCACATTGGGTTGGCACAAACAGCTCTTGTGCTTTGAAATCAGCATTTTTACTTAGATTTTCTTTATTATCATCTTTGAGCATTTAAAAGAACACAATGAAAAAATGTAGAAATCTGTAAGCAAACAAATATTTTCTTTATGGCAGTGTGTGTAAAAAGGTGTATGTGTGCTGAGCATTCAGGCACACTGATAGACCCTTCCCTCCCTTTAGGCTGCTGCTGTCCCCTTCACCACAGCCACATCTTTACCATGTCTAAGCTCTGTTCCCCTAAGTGTTGCCCTTCGACAACCAGGGTCTGTCCAAGGCTCAGCACAAATCACAGAGCTTAGAGGGGTGGGGGGGGAGTTTGGGAATCAGGGGTTCAGTCCACACACACATGCACACGCACTTAAATGTACACAGTGTCTGATGAGGTGGAGAGCACACGGTCAGGAGCAGAACAAGTGGAGGCCATGCAGAGGAGAAGAAAGATGGCTAAGAATGAAGGAAAGGAGTAGATGAAGAGATGGAGGATTGCTGAATGAATTAAAACACGACAAAGGAGAATGACTATTCCTCCTTGAAGCAATGCATCAACAGCGACGCACCCCCCTCTGCTTTGTAATTATTTTAGTGCAGATTAGTCCGAGTTGGATCCATTTTTTATTCCAGCATCTCAAAGTCCCAACAGCCTTGTTCCACATTCATAGATGCACATGAAAAAAAAAAAAAAAGTTCATTTAATGGCTTTGTTAGGGTGCAAACTAACTTAAGAGGATAAGAGCAAAAGTAGGGCTCTGCCAAATCAAACACACCATTACTACTTGTGCGTCTGTGCACGCAAAAACACATGGGATAGAGCAGTTGAGTCTAAGTCAGAGTTTTGATGAGGTCCCAGGTGACTCGTCAGCTGCGTAGCTCTTACCACTCCCTGGACACCCATGTCCAGTGGTATTAGTGCTGTGTTTTAACTCAACCTTTAAAGCACATGTTTGTGCTATTGCTTTTGCAAGCAAAGGGAAGTGCTAATAAAGACTGCAGCTACGTTGGAAACGTTCCCTCATTCTGTATAAACCACAGCATTGTTCATGTAAATCCTAGTAACTGTTCATTTGGTTTTTATGTACTCCATTTAGAGCTATAAAAGAGCCAAATAAAAGGCAGTCTTGACTTTGAAAGCTAATACTAACACTGCTCATGCTAACATTTAAAGCTAAATACTGTCTAAGCAAGGTTTGAGAGATTATGAAAAATTTCATTAAACTTTTTTTGCATCAAGCAAAAATAAACATGTCACATATATGTTCAACATTTCAACATGTTAGCCGAAGATCGAAGATTTTGTTGCTGCTCATGTTCTTTAAATAGCTTAAAAAATTGAATGGATAATGGGTAAAATTAGAATTGTGGCATAATTCAAAGTCAGTGCTGTGAAGAATGATTGGATTCATGATAATTTTAGAGCAAAAGCTGCTAAATAATGCCATCCATCACCTCAGAATCAGGCATTAAATCCTAGGCACCCTCCTGGGATTAATCAGATACTACTGCCAAAACTACTCAAGTTACCTTTTTTAAAGTATGTCATTGTGTTAAAAAAGTCTGTTAAAATTCCGTCTAATGGAAAAAACCCTTTTCAGTTTAAAGTCCCGTTATTAGTTGGAGTGAATAGCATTGTGTCCACTTCTATGCAGTTCAGAGAAATAAGTGCTTGTAAATTGTTGCTTTTAAGTTTTCTCTTGTTTAGAAGATAGAAATTCAACTGCTGTGAATATTTACAAAAGCCATTCTTTTTTTTTTTTTTTTTTGAAGAAAAAGAACATCAAATCCTAATTAAAGGTATAACTTTTTTTAAACCATCACTGGCAAGCCCAGGGTGCCATGTGCTTTTAACATTACTGTTTTATAAGAAAAATTCTATTTCACACATTATGTTAATACATCAAATTACATGAAATGAAGCCATTTTCCCCTGCATAGTTTGTAAGATGCAACAACTTGAACCATAAAACTATGTTGTTCTTTAAGCCTTTGATGTATAATGGAATTAAAGGCTAAATATGAAGCACAAAAACAATATAATGGACACATCCCTGCTAAATTATATTCAAATGCTACAGGTAAGTGGACCACAAAATAAAACATTTCAATTCAGGTAAATCTTCCTAAGGAGACATTTTATTCAAAAGTTACAGCTCTACTCTAATAAAGATTCCAAAACCCCAACTAACTTCAGCTTTTTAGGCCACAACTTCAGGATTTTAAATGCTTTCTGGGACTCAGACAACTCCCAATAAACAGAATCTGTGACTGTTTTCTCCCAGTTCGGTCATCATCTATAGACGAGTGGGCTGGGGGCTTCTGGCTCTACCACATCTAGAATTAATGCTGTTTGCAGCCACGGTACTGTGAAGCTGCTTGGAAGAAAAATGCCCTCCAACTCGTTCCAGTTCTGCAGCATGGCACTATGTGACAACATATCAGGAGAGTTAACTTAAACAGAAAGGATGACTACATCAGAAAGACAGCATAGATTTCATTTCATAAGCCGTTTCTACAGCAACACGTAATCTTTGGAGATTTAAAGAGTAAGCCTACTTTTAGAAAGGAAATTGATTCTCTTTGTGCATTATTCCCACTTTCAAAGGATTCAAAGCCCTCATGTGATACATGCGGTAAGATTTCCCTGTATTTGACATGCCATCATGTAAATCTTCCAACAGGTCATAGAACATCAATTGATGGGCCAACGATTTGCTATGGATTTGGAAATAAGGAATCTTGCATCTCAAGGAAAGAAAATACAGACGGAGATCCAGAAGTTATTTATTTGTGCGTTTGCAATGGTGCCAGGCCCAGTTCTGACGTGGCTTTCCAAGTCTTTCATTTGAAATGAACTGCTGTCTAGTCACATAAATCCAATAAGTTTTACTTGGATAGCACGTACCAAGTGGTCAACAATTGTTGAATAGAATAAAAAATTAGATTTTCAGGTTGTTGTTTTTAACATTGTGTAGAGTATTTACATTAAACCTTCATTATTCTGATAACCCAAAATAAGATTAAGGGATTCTAATTGTTCAGTCATCCTTTTAGAGTCTAATTTAATGTTAAAATAAATAGAGCAGTTCTTTGGTGGCCTTATTAGGGACTATTTATCAACAAAAAGTATAACAAAGACGGAGGAGAAAAATAGGACAAGAAGAATGTGATTACGGGAAGTTACTCAAAAACAAATCCCAAGGTTTGATCATCTTTTAGGGGTTCAAAGCATACCCTTAAAAAGGAAAGAGCGTATACAGATAAAGAATTTCAATTCAGCTAAACTGACAGTCTAAGCAAATGGAACATTAATTAGAGAAGCAGTCAAGACATCCATGGAAACCCCTGTTCAAATGGGAGAATTCATCTATTGGACAACTAACAGAAGGTCTGACTGACTTTGATGCACGTTAGAAGAAGCAAGTTAAGCTGGAAAAATCCATAAGAAGTTTGAAGTTTACCTAAAAAAAAAAAAAAACATTCAAGAGCCCAAACTGAACCTATGAACCTGTGTGCATGGCAGAGGTGCTGCACATGACCCCGATTGCACGGTTCCAATAGTAAAGCATGGTGGTGGTGTGACATTATGGTGGGAGGTTGCTTTCCTTCAGCAGAGACAAAAATGCTGTCAAGTATTCATGCGAAGATGGATGGAGCCAAATAGAAAAAGAAAAACTTAAGAGCAGAATATGAACGCTAAACGCATAGCTAAAGCTAAGATGAAATAGTTTGGGTTAAAGCACATTTATGAGTCATAACGACCAAACCAAAGTCCAAACTCAATCAGGAATCTATGGAAACAATTAATGAGGTCTATTCAATCTGACTTATCCTGAAATATTTTGGTAAGAAAGTTAGAAAAAAGATAGATGTTCACAGATAGACAACCTAAAAGACTTGAGTCTGTAAAGGCAACAAACGGAAGTTCTAAACCCCACAACTAAAAGGATAAAGACTGAGACCGCTCTTAGAATATGTTAGCATTTTTAAAATGGCCTTGCACTTCCCAATTATACACTCCTTAGTGTTGGTCTATCCAATAACATCCAAAGAAAATTAATTAAAGCTTGCAGTTATAAGATGACAAAACGTGAAAATGTTTAGGAGGTAT